AAATCAGTCTCCATCCTGGCCACTTTTGGCATTCTCACTGCTTCTAGTCACTGGCCTTGATCAATATGAAAAAAAAAATCCACACCAACTTCATCCTTTACAAAGCCAATATTTTGCATGGTTTACCCACAGAAACAGGGCAGGCCTCTGTTGAAGCTTTAAGGTATTTAACTCAGTCCAGCTCTATATGTCTTTGTTGTTAGCTCTGGTTGTGTTTCAACCATTTATTAGTCAGATGGCCTTTGCAAATTATTTAGTGTCCCTGGGCCTCAGTTTTCCCATCTGAATTAAGTATCCTTGTATCTCATCATCTCTAAGTGCCTTGCAAGTCAGCCAACTCTATGAGAGTTCAGCCATTGACTATGCTCACAGACCATGGACACACAGTTATTAATAATTTTTTAGTTGCATTAGTTATAAGAGGCTTGCTTCTATTTCAACTTTTCATAGAACATGGTGCAAACCTTCTGAGGGTCTGAGCTGTGTTGCCCTCCCTCCTCCCCAGCATCTCTAAATTATTCTTACCAACTTGATGCTTTGATTGTTTCCATAGCTCATTTTCTAAAAACTGCTTTCCTTTTTGACCCAGCCAATTTGTCCCTATGCCAGTTTTCCAAGCAAGCCCCTATCTGGTTTGGCCTTTTAAAAATTTTCTGCAAGGTCTTCTTTTCTTTCTAACTGTTCCAGTTTTGTTCTTGAGTCTTCTTATTCAAAAGAGGCTTCTATACCTTTTGTTAGCATAAATTTATAACAAAAAGCAATTTCTCTTGTTTGAATTTTCTTTTGCTCTATTTTAAAAGGACAATCCATGTTGAGGCAGATAACTAAACTCTTTTTACATATTAGAGATTCATTTAAGCTGGGGTAGAAGACAAAGGTAATAAATATTTTTCAAAACTATTCAAAGTTTTAGAAATCAATCATAATTAAATTACTTACAAGGAGAAGGTATTTGTTTTGCTTATTTCCAACCAAGCCTCTTTTTCTAAATTTTGGCTCTGAAATACATATGAATATATTATACATATAGGCAAATGAATATAATCAAAATAAGTTCTTTTGAAAAGACTTTTAGCACCCTTAATCAAACTAAACCACTATGAGGCATCAACAATCCAGAGGAGTAAGCCCTGTGTGTTTCAAAATTTTTATTGGAGTATAACACTGACATGGAAGAACACGTAAGTAAAAACCATGTGATCTGATGAATTTTCACTAACTTAAAACACACCTGTAACCAGCAAAAGGGTTAAGATTTTATCTTATTTAAAACGTCTCACTGATGGGCTCTTGAGAAACACCTGTGTCGTTGTCCTACCTTGTTATTAACTTTATGTAAGCATGAGGCTGTCCCTCCAACTCAGTGATATATTCTACATGGCCGGAGAGTAGGACTGTAGTTTATACCACATATTTCTTCTACCATACAGGTAACTAAGTGCCCTGAAATGAGGACACTCTCAGTAAATGAACATGAACCATATCAGACTCAGTTTATTAAACATTAATACACACAAATCTCTGCTCTACATGCTTTTGATTCCTGTTTTATCTTCTATATCACTGACCTTTCTTTCTCAGTCTTTTTGCTGTCACCAACCTCATTGACAAATTATTTAGTCAATTGTTAACAAAATGACTTCTTCATCTAAACCTCTCTCTGGCTGAGTTCAATTGGTCTCATGTCTTTAAATAACACCTATAAGCTAAAGATTCTTGAGTTATAACCTATACTATAGCCAATTATTGCATTTATGGCCCCTTTATATCTCTCCCATATCTTTATCCGAACTGTTCCAAAGTTACATTGCAACAACTCACATCATGAGGTGGAATCTATTTCCTTACCCAGTGAATCTGGACTGGCTCTATAACTTTCTTTGGCCAATAGAAGGTTGGGGGATACCAATTGCATTATCAACATCAGGCTGGCTTACTCTTGGAGCCCTCCCTCTACCGTATGATCAAATCCAAGGCAGCCCATTAAAGAATGAAAAACCACATGGAACATTACACTGACTGACAATGAACCAACCCCCAGAAGCAAAGCCATCTAGCAATTCAAAACTGACTACTGATGCATGAGGTAACTCAGGCAAGACCAAATGAGTGTTCCAGCTAACGCAGCAAAATAACCAACCAGCAACATCATAAGGTAACAAAATAGTTATTGCTTTAAACTGCTGACTTTTGGTGTGCTTTGTTACACAGCGATAGCTAACTGATATACCAGCTTAGATAGCTAACTGATATACCAGCTCAGACATATGTGTAGATATGTATTCAATGCTGACCTGAAACTTCCATATAAATAGTTCATTGCCATTTAAAAAAAATCTATACAAAATTTGACGTTTACTCCACCTAAAACCTCTTCAATGTTTTCCTTTTGAAAAATGGCCTCAGTATCTGTCCAGTTCTTTAAGTCAAACTCTACAAGATGCCATTTAATTCTTCCTTTCCTTCACTGTCCACATTCAATCCATCAGAAAGTCCTGTTGATTCTAATTTCTAAATTTTTCTTGAATCCATTTAGTTCTGCCCACTCTACTAACATTATTTCTCCCAGTCTAAGCTGCTCACGCCTTATGCCAACAGCATTATAGTAGCCTCCTGTCTGATCCCTTCTAAACCACTCCAAAATTTTTTACACAAAAGCTAGTTTTGATTTTAAAATCCTAGAAGATCATGTCAGTTCCCTGCTTAAACCGTTCAGAAACTTCTCATCATGCTAATAATCAAATCCAAATTAAGTGTCATGGCCCATGAGACCCTCCATGACCTATTTTCTTCCATTCTCTCCAGTCTTTCTTCCCACCACTCTCTCTCTTTAACTCACTGCATTCCAGCCACGTTTGCCCTTTTTTTCTTTTTTGAAACAGAGTCTCACTCTGTCACCTAGGCTGGAGTGCAGTGGCTTGATCTTGACTCGCTGCAACCTCTGCCTCATGGATTCAAGTGATTCTCTTGCCTGAGCCTCCCTTCTGTAGCTAGGACTACAGGCACACACCACCATGCCCTGCTAATTTTCACAATTTTGGGTAGAGATGGAGTTTCACCATTTTGGCCAGGCTGGTCTCAAACTCCTGACCTCAGGTGATCCACCCGCCTCAGCCTCCCAAAGTGCTAAGATTTCAAGTGTGAGCCACTGCGCCCAGCCCATGTTTGCCCTCTTGCTTCTCCTGAAATAACTAAGCTCTTCCTTATCTGAAGGCTTCTACTCTTGCTCTCGTCTGCTACAAAATCTCTTTCCTTGCTTCTTGCTCTTTGCCTGGTGGCTTCCTTTACCTCTTTCTTATTTCAGATTAAATCACATCACCTCTTGAAGGTCTTTTCTGCCCACCCTGTCTAAAGTGGTCTTCCTGCCCCACCATTTTTCTTCATTGTCTCATCCTATTTAGTTCATTGAAAATATTATGATTCTTGATTCTTGGTGTATTTACTTAACAACCTGTGGTTTCTTGCCTGTCTTTTCCACCAGATTTGAAGCCCCATGGGGGCAGGATGCCATGTCTACTTTGTTCACTCAGCATCGTAAGTGCTTTCCACAACTTTTGGCCCATGGTGGGCACTCAGTAAACATTAGTTGAATAAACTAATCTAATATAAGTCTTCCAATAACACTATCAAGTAGATTTTATCATTCCAGTTTTACAAATAAGAAATTTGAGGGCAGGCATTATTCATATTACTCATAGTCATAGTAGAGAGACAGTATGGTAATCAGGTCAATCTGTCAGAGAAGTGGAGTGGGGACAGAAACCCTATAGCTCCCATACAAAGCCCAATCCTCAATCCCTCGAGTCCCATGACCTGAGAAATAAGCAACTGTGCTCTTGTGGGAGGGAGTGTTGCAAAGGGATGTGAAGAACAGAATGCCCCAACCCAGACAGGTGTTTCCCCTCATTGGACTGCAGCTGTCACTCTGAGAGTCACATCTTCACCCAATTAAATCCAGATGAAGGAAGGAAGGGATAGACAACAATGGCTGTTCCTCATACTTCCTATTTAGAAAAGAGGAAAATATTTTCCTGAAGCCTTCGTGGATATAGTTACAGTTCATGGACCAGAATTTGGTTCCAATCCCACTACTATCACGTGCAAGGTAGAGCAAGATTGCCACTTCTGATTTACCTTCATCACCGTTCATTATCACCTGGCCTAGGCTGGTTCCACTCAAATGTATCAAGATTCTGATATCTATAGTGGAAAGGAGGAATGGCTATTGATCATGCCGGCAACAGCACCTGACACAGCAATTCAATTACTCTAGGTTCTTTTGTCCCACTTTATTCTAGAAAATATGGATACTATGGATTAAGTCCATGAACTAAGAAGCTTAGAGCTCAATCTGATGACATTGAGTCTTGGAAAAGTTGATATATTCTTCTCAGCAACTGATGAACCCATATATTGTATCCAAATAGTTTCAACCTCCCAGCAAGGGATAAATTTATATACCTGGCATAGCATAACAAAACCATGCAGTGTAACAAGGCACGGTCCTAATAATAAACTTAAAATTGTCCTGATAAATATATTCAGCCATGTTTTTAATTCAGCACTTTATAAGTAACCTAAATATGCTAATATCAAAATAAATCCCTTTTGGTAAACCTCAATGTTCTCTTGTTCTCTTCCCCATAAAGACAACTTTTATTTTCAATAAAATTCCATCTATGTATTCTGTTTTACCAGCAGTAATACAAGAGTTGTTGAAAACTATACATGAATAGAGGCAAGTTTGGCCTTATATAGCTTAGCTTTGGCTGGGAGTTGGGAGACTGGGTTCTAGTCCTAGAACTTCCAAAAACTAGCTGCATGAATTTAGGCAAGTTACTTCATTTCTTCTTCCGTAAAAGAGGAGATTACAAAGATTATTCTGAAAACCTAACTGAAACCATTTGAACAATACATTAGTAAGGGTAACTGATGCTAGCAGCTATAACTAACAGTCCCTAGATTATAGTGGCTTAACACAATGAAAGTTTATTTCTCACCTAACAGTCCAGTTGGATTCATGAGGCATTTTTGCTGTCTTTTCTCCAAGCAATGTTTCAAGAACCCAGCTCCATTCATTCTGTGATGCCACCATCCTTAGCATTTGGCTTCCATGGCTCCTGTAAGAGAATAGAACATGAAGAACAAAACAGGAGGTTTTTATGGGAGGCACGTCAATTTGACCAGATATCTTGCCCAGAACCTTTTCACATGTCCTCTGCCTAAATAAAAATGAGGCTAATGGCTGGGTGTGGTAGCTCTTACCTATAATCTCAGCACTTTGGGAGGCTGAGCCAGGAGGATCACTTGAGCCTAGGGGTTCAAGATTAGCCTGGGAAACATAGGGAGACCTCATCTCTACAAAAAAATTTAAAAATTAGCTGGGCATAGTGGCACATGCCTGTAGTCTCAGCTACTTTGGAGGCTAAAGTGGGAGAATTGCTTAAGCCAGGAGGTTGAGGCTGCAGTGAGCCAAGATCGTGCCACTGCACTCCAGCCTAATTGACAAAGTGAGACCCTACTGCAAAGAAAAAAAAAAAAAGTAAGGCTGGGTAACATAGCCTATAAGACCAGAAATAAGCATCAGGATTGGTGAGTACTAATATCATCTCTACCATAAACACTTTGGGGAATATTTCTTTCTCTAAATTCAGAATAAGTGGGGGAAATATTAATCTCATTCTAAATATTTTATTGTGTCACTCCCTATCCTGTGTTTCCAAGCACCTCATACTACTATTATGTGTTATCACACATAACAGTAGTCAACTGTTCATATGTCTCTCCAGCTATTGACTGAGAGTTCACCGAAAGAGGAAACCTTTGTAATTCATCTTTGTACCCTGAGGTCTTAGCGCAGAGGCTGGCATCTATTAGACCTAAGGAGGATTGGCGACTCTGGACAAATCAGAAAAGAAGAAATGTTGTCAACTGTTTTCTCTTGGTGATGGTGATGGTGATGGTGATGGTGATGGTGATGGTGATGGTGATGGTGATGGTGTTGGTGATGGTGATGGTGATGGTGATGGTCAGTGCCCACTCCTAAATATCTATATTGGGGAGAGATGGTCTGTAGGGTGAGCACTTGTCTTTTGACTGTATTCTTGGGGAGGGATGAAATGATGTTTGTTTCATACTCTAGAAACGCTGAAGAAAACAGCAATTGTCATTTCACATAATGATGAAGAGGGTTTCCTGAAGTGGGAAGCAGATAGTAGAAGGAGGTGTAAAACTGTCAACCTTGAGCCCCACAGTAATGAGGAATGATGACAGTAGGAGCAAGTTATGGGATGATTGTTTGCTTGTGAACCTCAGGTCTTCTGCAGCATTAGCTGGCAGGGCCTTCTCCTTGACCCCCTCAGGTGACATCCTGGAGCCCATAGTTCTCACCAGGAGAGGGTATCAGGCCACCAAACCGACTGACATAATAGTTCTGGTTGAGGATAATCTCTACCTTAACCTCTATCCCATCCCGCAGTCCAAAACTGCCACCCAGCATGGCCTAACCCAGAGTCTATTCCCAAATAAGTGATTCTGCAGGTTGCTGGAATTCAAAGATGCTCATACTCCAGAATTAGAAAACATCCCTGTGGCAATCTCAGGTTCTCAGCAAGCAGACCAGGATGCATATGTGAGCTTCCTTTATTTCAAGTTAAGAATGCATTTTCAGTTTTTAAAATCCAACAATAATCAACATTGGTTGAAAACCTAACTTCTAGAGCAGTGCTATTCAATATACTAGCACTGGCCTGTGTGGCTATATAAGTTTAAACTAATCGAAATTCAACAAAATTTAAAATGCAGTTCCTTGGGGGCAGTAGCCACGTGTTAAGCACTAAATGGCTACATGTGGCTAGTGGTCACCTTATTGAACAAGGCAGCTATAGTATATTTCTATCATCACAGAAAGTTATGTTGGATAGCACTGCTCTAGAAACTGCTTCCATGAAGCTATGTGCCAGCTTTCTAAGTCAAGTTCTGTCAATCCTATTTGGTAGAAAATATGATAAACGTTTTAGAAAATCACAAGAGCACTTTTATTTGGCTGAAATTTAAACATATGCATACAATTTCTTAAAATACATTTTACATATTTGAAGGTTCAGTTCACCTTGGAAAGTCAAATTTCACATCTCCAATATGAACAAAATTTTGACTTCCTGGAGCTCAGTGGTAATTATGGATTATAGGTTAAAAATAAAGTTAATAACTCCAAAAAGAGTATGAGCAATGTAAGACTTTTTCCAGGTAACATTAGAAGCAAGAAATAACTAAAAAAGGACATTGCTTATTTCGAAGGGCATTATCCCCAGGTACATATTATTTTAAAGAATAAAATTTTGTGTTACCTTTTTCAAAGCACAGACATTTCTTGGGCATGTTAACCTTCTAAGCTGTATAATAAGATATGACATCATTTATTTCCAAGAAAAGAAGTTAGTTCACCTAAGAGAAAAGTGAATCAGCCAGGATCCTATTTTATTATTGGTCCAGGAGAAGCAAGGACCCTACCTGACCTTCAGGGAAACCATCTGGGCTCATTATTAAAGCTGTTTATAAAAATCCTGGCTCTCCTTCTCTTGGGAGAACTCACTTCCCCACTCTCTAAAGTAAAAAAAGGCCACATGACTTGCCTTGCACAATTAAACATGAACAAGTGTAATGAATATCTTTTCCAGAAGAATCATCTGAGTACCTGTGCTTGTCTCATTTCCCCTTTCCCTCTACATTGACAATCATGGAACCCCAAGTTGGAGTCTCCATCAGCAGATATCCACTAGTAAGTATGATGAAGAAGGGCTCTGTTAATCTACACTGGTCACATAGCAAGTGGAAGAATAAACTTTTCTTGTATTAAGTCATTATGAGCATGAGAATGTTTGTTACTGCAGTATAACATAGCCTATGCTGACCAATACATCATCCAAATCTAGGGCATATGGCACCAAATAGAAACATGGTTCTCAGTCTTTTGTTTCTATGAACACAAAGTAAAAAAGCTATATGTATACAGATCAAGAATCAGATAAAGATGAAGAATCAAACTTGACAAAAGCAATCCTAGTGGCCAGGCATGGTGGTTCATCCCTATATTCCTAGCACTTTGGGAGGCTGAGGTGGGCAGATCACATGAGGTCGGGAGTTCGAAACCAGGCAGCCCAACATGGTTAAATCCCATCTCTACTAAAAATACAAAAATTAGCCAGGCATGGTGGTGGGTGCCTATAATCCCAACTACTCAGAGGCTGAGGCGAGAGAATTGCTTGAACCTGGGAGGCGGAGGTTGCAGTGAGTCAAGATTATGCCACTGTGCTCCAAACTGGGTAAGAGAGCAAGACTCTATCTTAAAAAAAAAAAAAGCAATCCTAGGTCTAGGAATGATTTCCTACAGACACTAAACATTGAAAAAAGAAATGGCTCATTCATGTGAACACAAATGATAAAGAGGTTTATTAAAACTCTGCTGTGAGCTTTGGCCTCTTTTCCTGCCTGGTTGAATTTTAAAACACCGTATAGACTGTGTATACCTAAGATGCTTTTCCCACAAGAGCCTTAAAATTTTCATTTCTCTCTTTCTAGATATGCTGCCAAGAGAATTTTTTTTCTTTAAGAACAAATAAACTAAAGAAATTAACATCCAGCTTGCTGAGTCACTTGTTTTCCACTTGCATTTTAACTACAGGGATCTGAAGACAGCCTGAGCTAGGCAGAGAAAGAAAGAGATAGAGAAAGAGTCACAGAGAAGAGAGTGAGAGAGAGACATAGAGTCAGGGAGAAATTCAAACAGAGATAGAGAGAGACTGGTTCTGGAAAGAAAGACGATAAATTAAGTTGAGTAGAAAAGGCAGAAACAATCTTTGAAAAGTTTGGTTAAGATATCGGATCTATTTTCTTACTCTATAGTGGGAGCTCCGAATAAAAATATTTCAAGAAAAACTGTAATGTGATCACGGGTTGAGTTGGGGTTTAATAGTGGAGTCAGGTATTTAAAGTGAAAGATCAAGTTTTGTATTTATTTTTCATTTTTTAGTATTTTTGCTTTTTTAATCCCAGGTCCCCTATCATTGACTATCTGACTTTAACAAATTCAGCTCACTTTTGTGAGCTTGGTTTCTTTATCTATGAAAAGAGAATAGTAAAACTTACCACATAAGTTGGTAGAGAAGATAGAATTCTAGAAAACATATTGGACAATCTCTGAAACCACCTGTCATCAAAAGGGAATAATAAACACTGCTTCCCTCTTCTGTCTTTCTTTACCCCATCTGTTTTTAATTCTACCAGGGAGTTTCTTTCTCTGAGTCTTCTTGAAGATTAGCTGTATACAGGAAAACTGTAGTTCTAATTTGGCCATGTATTGGAATCCTGGGTTAAGTTTTTCCACTTTCTTATTCGATTTAATCTTCACAACAATCCTACATGAGTTTATCTTCATTTTACAGAGGAAACAGAGGATTATAGAAGTTAAACAAATCCCAGATCCACACAGATAGTCTTTTAGTAATCTATCGCCATAATAATATGGTATTGAAATTTCCCGCAAGTTCAGTGGCTCACAATAACCATTTTGTGTGACTCATCAACCTGTGGGTCAACTTGGCAGTTCTGCTGGTTGAATCTGGTCTCAGCAGGGCCCACTCCTGCAACTGTAGTCATCTGGGCTTTGGCAAATCTCTTTAGTCTATGGCCAAAGAGCAATAAGTGAGCAGCAAGAAATCGAGTAATCTCTGACTCTTTTATTAAATAAAATGCTGATCTTGGGCCAGCTAACTAACCTTCCAGAACTGCAAGCCAAGGCTCTCCTTTGGTCCAGTGCCTTAAACCCATGCAGTCCTAGGGTAGAGAAATGAGGAAGCCCATAATTCTGGTAGAAAGGCTGCCTCTCATTCCCAAATCCCCCAGAGACAAATGAATGATAGCAGGATCAAGCCTACCAAGGGCACACAGGCAGAGAATACAGAATCGTCCAATCTCCCACCAATTCAAGGGCAGGGCAATTAAGATGCAGAACTCACCACAGCTAGAGATTATTTACATTGATACGTTAGCACAGCATCATACTACAATGCGGTCCACTAACCAGCAACGTCAGCAGCACCTGGGAATTTGTTAGCAATGT